GCAACACCTTTTAAACTGGGATGAGCAGAGGGAGAGATTATAAGAGCATGAGGGACGTTCTGAGGGTGATGGGTATGTTCATTATCTTGATTCTCCACCTTGAGACATGTTTAAAACGAGAGTTTCCTATTTCCTTGTTGTCTGAGTTACTATTTAAAGCTGCTCAAACGAAGCAGACAACCTCAACAAGATGCTAAAGCCCTGGGTCCCCTCAGCCGGCCTCACGGCCTCACTGCTGCAGCGGTTAAGCTGCCTGAGAAGAGAGAAAATGGGACCAAGGTCACAGGGTTTGGAGGCTTCAGAGGCTGGCACAGCTCGTGTCTGTGAGATAAAGCAGAGTCACGAGGGCCAGTCAGGGCTCCGCGACCAACCACCAACCACAGAACATCTGGAGAACCGGGCCCTTCCTCCAAAATTAGTGGTATTTTGTAACTCAAACTTTGAGCTCCAAAGTTACCTCAATATGCAGAATCTCTGGAACATGTTGTTAATTATTATGGGTAAGAATAACTACCAAAAGTGCCTTAGCATTGTTTAATATAAATCTAGTCTGTACGTACTAATTATCACTGGGTGTTCCTAACATTGGTTTGGCTTCTGAGCACAGTGGCCCCACTCACCTCCTGACCTAGTTTAGCACTAGGCAACGTGTGAGAAAGGAGGCCAAGTGTTTGGATGTTACCATTAGACCTGGGGCCCTCAGGGTAAGAGGTGCTTTGAACATGGCCTGTAAGAGGTGGCAGCAGGGCTGAGGGGTGGGGAGTTGTGTCCCAGGCTCCGTCTGTGAAAGAGGAGGGGGTGTGCTACCCTGGGTAAGCATCTGAGTGGTGGCCAACCGTGATGAAGAGACACTGTAACTTTTGTTTCCATGTTAATCATTTTTTGGGTGATTATTTTAAAATTCTTATTTTTTACTGAAGTGTAGTTGATTTATAAGCACGTTTCAGGTGTATAGCAAAGCAATTTGGTTATACACACACACACACAGACACATTTATATTTTTTTCATATTCTTTTCCATTACAGTTCATTACAAGAAACTGAATATAGTTCCTTGTGCTATACTGGAGACAGTGTAACTTGAAGAGATGTCAAAGGTTCCTTTGTGTTTCCTGAGCTCTTTGAGTTCCTCTTGAACTCAAGATACCAGAGGCAATATGGACCTTAAAAAATAATCTGGCTGTCTCTGGCAGGAAGGATAAGCACTAATCCAAAAGGTCCACATTCTGTGAAACTGGGGAAACAGGCACTCTTATTACTGGTGGGAATAAACACTGGTGTAATCCTTTCTGAGAGGAACTTGGCAACATCTAATAAAACTACATGTGGGGCTACCTTCTGATCTAGCAGTGCCACTTCTAAGACTTCACCTTGAAGATACAACCCCCGATAACACAAAAACACAAATACACAGTTACTGCACCACTGTTCATCATCGCAAAACATTACCAACCACCTCTATGCCCATATAAGAGGGAGACGGACTATGCTACGGAACATTCACACAGTGGAGTCAGTCTTTGCAGCTGCTTGAAAACAAGAGCAAGGGAAGATATCTATGAACTAAGGTGGAGTGATTTCCAGAACGTACTGGTAAGTGAAAAAAGTAACACGCAAAAGAGTATCCATAACGTGCTATCCTTTGAGTAAGACCGACAGGGAAGTAAACCCAGAGAGGATGAAGCAGAGCCTAGGAAGACTGGTTCACTATTGGGGGGGATGGCGTGGGTGAACAGAAGCAGGACAGTGTGGGAGACGGCACTTTTCTGAATATGTCTTTGTATAGCTTTGGTTTTTGGAACCATGTTAATGCTTCATGGGCACAGAAAAGAAAAGAAAATCAAAGATGGGGATAGGGGAAAGGTCCTCATCTGCTCTAACTGCAAAATTAAAAAGAAAACTAGTAAAGAACTATCTCCACTGACGTATAAAGGGAAGCGTGAAAAGTAATGAAAGGAGTGTAGGAACACTGTAGCAGACCTTACTTTCCAAAAATGGTGCAATATTTCCCATCCCAGATGCTCTTCCAAGAACTTGCAACTCCCTCAGCAAGAGGTGGACTCTCTGCCCCTCTCCTTGAAGCTGGGAGGGCACTTAGACTACTCTGACTAATGGAGCAGGATCAGTGACATTGTTTTACTTCCCAGACTAGGTCATAAAAGGCAATACAGTGCCCACCTGGCTCTTTCTCTAGGGACACCTGCACTCAGAACCCAGTCACCACACTGAAGGAAGCTCAGACCACGTGGAGAGGAACCGAGGCCAGAGGCCCTCAGCCCTCAGCTCTAGCTGAGCTCCCAGCCAACACCCGGTATCTTACCAGCCATGCAAGTGTCATCTTGGAAGCAGGTCCTCCAGCCCCCAGTCCAGCCTCCCTAGCTGACGCCGCGTGGAGCAGAGAGAAGGAGTCACAGCGAAGCTTGGTCAGATTACAAATTTGTGAGCAAAGTAAATCACTGTTACTATTTTAAGCCACTTCTTTTGGGGCTGTTTGTTATTCAGTAACTGAACTAAAACAAAAAACACACACCACACCTTGACCTTATTCAAGACCCTCTTAACTACCAGACCACCCCTGTCAGCCCACACCTGCTCCAGGCAGGCTGCGTGGAGGTGGAGCCCAGCACTGAAGTTCATGCAATTTCTTCAACAGCCATCTTTCAAAGACAGTTATCTCTGTTTACACAATTCTAGCTCTCTGGTTTCCTAGCCTGTGCGGATTAGAATCATTACATTAAGGGCAGGGGTGGGAGATGGGGACAGAGCTCAATGAAAGGCAACTAGAGGGACACACACCAACACCAGCCAACTGATACCGACAGAAAACACTGCAAGGTCTGTGGTCTGGAATGGCGCAGACCGGGGCCAAAGGCCTTCTGACCTTGGTAGCCCTGCATGACGACAGGCCTGAATTTCCATCTTTAAATCATCAAGAGAAGATTAGATCATTCTTGCCTAGCTCTGCCTAAGGCGGCCAGAAAGTGTGTGGCTTTTAAAGATTTTCATCACATTTAGAAGGGGAAAGAAAGGTTTTGGTGCTTAAAGGGGTAAGTGCCAAGTACCTGGAAAAAAGGTTTGTAACAGAGACCCCACCCCACTGAGAGCAACACTAGGTCGCTAGGTCAAGGGCCTGACTGTGTGCCATCAGGGTCTCCCAGCCCATCTTGGGGCTTCCACAGACCCCAGTGATTACATGCTACAACAAGCAGGTGTAACACATACCAAGGAAACAATGTTCTAAAACTTTTCTATTTTAATTTATGGAATTCTTAAAAAAAAAAAACAAGCATTTTATGAGATCATTTTCTTACATCACACAATTCTCCTCCTGATTTTCCTGAGTCTAATAAGAATCCAGACAGCTGATAGCCCAGGGAAAAAGGGAACTGGGAGGAGTGGGATTCACTGGTGGTAAACACTGGTAGGACATTTCTAGAACAGTTTTAAATTGTACCACCCTAGCTTAGAGGGAGGCCTCCTTCCCACTCTACCTGATAACTTAGGTCAGAGGTGGACAGTGGATCAGAGGCAGGTAAAGGTTTATGGTCTTTTTTGGACCCTGACAAAGGAGGCTGGGGCGAGTTGGGGGGGTGGTCTAGGTCCTCCTCCTCGCTGAAGAGGGTCAACAGAATGAATAATGGCTGAAGGCACAAAGAGGAAGGCATCAAATGCTTCCCATTAACTGAAATATAGTCACTGTAAGATGTCAAATACTTCAGTGACTGAACATGGGAAAAACAGGCCTCATGCTCCACAGGAAGGAGGCTGCGCCTTAGAGCCTGAGTGGGAGGGGTGGCAGGGGCTCAGGTCAAGCACCGTTTGAGAACCGCCTACCACGATGGCAGTCGTGGCAGCCAGAGGGCCTTGGAGTCTCAGGTCAGATTCTGTACACTCCATCCCAGCAACCGTGACATTAAGCTACTTAAACCTCCATAAGCCTTGGTTTCTCTATCTACAAAATGGAAAGGATATGATCTAGTTTACAAGACGATTCAAGGGATCTGAGTAATTCTATTAAAGTAGTGAACAGTCTGGCATATGGCAACTTATAATAGTTATCTTATCAGAGATGATCTTGAGTCACTGTCCAGCTGTTACACTTTGGAAATAATGCTTATGGTAAACCTTAAGAAGCAGTGGACACAGCTGAGGAGTTTGAGAATTCAAGAACAGTGTTACTGAGGAATCAGACCTCAACTGCTAATGATTCTGTGAACTTCCCTACTGATCACCCAGTTGCTCACGTCAAAAGCTAGAAGTAATCTTTGCCTCCTCTGGTTCTCTCCACCCCTCGTCTAATTCATCTGCAAATCCAGCCAGCTTCCCTCCAACACAGATCCCAAAGGCAGCCACTTCTCACCCCCAGCTATGACCACCTCCATGCCAGCCCCATTCTCCACTACCATGACCACGGCCCACCCACCCTCTTTCTCCTGCTGCCCACTCTCTGCTCTCCATGGAGAGCCACTCCACCACGACTCCCTGCTCAAAACCCTCCCAGGGCTTCCCAGGATCTGATCTGATGAGGCCCTGCCTCTCTGTCCTTTGCTCACGGTCACCCATCTAGACTCATCACAGTTCCTTGAAAACTTCAACCACGTCCCTGCTTCGAGGCCTTTGAACTTTCTGCTCCCTGTGCCTGGAATGCTCCTCCCGCACAGACCACCAGGGATCACTTCCTCACTTTGGCCAGGTCTCTGCCCAAATGTCAGGTCCTCAAAGAGGCCTTCCTTGACCACCAACCTATAATAGCAGTCCTGGCCACTTCCCATCCTCCCTTATTTGGCTTTATTTTAATCCTTATCAGCACCTGACATTTGTTTCTTGCTCTCTCCCTGACTAGGGTACAAGCTCCTGAAGGGCAGGGCCCTCCTCTGTCTTGTTCATCACTGTGTCCCCAAGGCCTAGAACAGGGCCTGGGACAAGAAGCACTCGAAGGGCCCATGTATGAGGAAATGGGTCCAAGAGGAGAAAAGCTACACCCAGGCAGCCAGCGTTACCTTTTTCCCAGCTGTGGGGCTGCTCTCCGCACTCTGCACAGGGCTCCTCTGGGGGCTTCGGTTTTCTTGGGGGACACATCTGGCCATGTACACACTGTAGTCCAGGAGCATCTTCTGCCGCACGCTGCCCGCCAGCTCCTTCTGCTTCGGCTGGGACATGATCTCCTCCACGCTGCCTTTGCTGCTGCTGCGGCTGTGGGTCAGGTGCCCGGAGGGGCTGTTGTGCCTGCTGTGTGAGGGCAAAACCCCTGCAGCAAAAAAGTGATGGCTGTTAATACAGATGAAGAGAAGGACTGCAAAGTAAATGGAACACAGAACAAACTCCACTGGGTTCAGCTGAAAAGCAGCTAAAATGATATATATGACTGTTTGAAAAACATTTCCAAGGTTATTTCCCACCCTGCAAGACACCTCCCACTGTAACGATAGATAATTTTTTTAAATGGTTCTGTTTTAAAAAATTTTTCTCCAAGAAAATTCAGAGTAACAAGAGCCATAATACACATCTGGTAGGTATCTTTTTCTTTTTTTCCTGGTAATCATTTAGGGTCAAATAAAGGATTGACACCCCCTCATGGGGCACATGGCAAGTGGGCAGAAGGCTAGATGTCCCTCCACGGTGTATGGTAATTCCAAACACGTCATCTTTCATTCAGCAAATTTTTTGTCAAGCACTTTCTCTGGGCCAACTCCACAATGAAAAGAAGAATAAGCCATATACAATCCCTGCCCTTGAACACGGGCACCCAGGCAAATAAATTACAGTTTTCTGTAATAAGCACTGTAACTGAAGCATGACTGAAAGCACTGTAACTGAAGCATGACTGAAAGGGCTTTTAGAAAGAAGAGGGTGAGTACTTCTGCCCAAGAGAGCTGAGAGGCACGCAGCCCAGGACTGACTTTCACAGGTAGTGATCTCTGGACTCTCTTGAAGAAATAGTTGGCATTTTCCTGAGCTAGGTGACGGAA